AGAAAAAAAAAAAAAAAGGGGAAAGACCCCCCCCAAAAAAAAATAAAAAAAAAAAAGGGGGAAAGGGCCCCCCTAAAAAAAGGGAAAAAAAAAAAGAAAGAAGTTTATCTGAGAAAGATTAAAAAAAAAAAAAAATCTCTGAAAAGAAAATAATAACCCACAAAGAGCCGCTCTGTTCCCACTGCTGGGAAAAAAAAAAAAAAAAATCCTATCTGCAAGGCCACGGGGTAACAGGAAGAAAAGGGAACACACTCGGAGCCAATTTAATTGTATCTGCATGGTTAAAAAAAATTCTTCAGAGCGAGGAAGTTCCCGGTCCCCTCGCCTGGCTGGGAGCGAACGTACCTTCAGCTGCGCCCGTCGCCAGCGCGGCCGCTCGCCGGAGGGGCTCTGCGTCCCTCCGTATCGCCCCGGCCGCCACGCTATACGCAGCGACGCCGATCGCTCAGGGGAGGGCAAAAAAAAAATAGGAGGGAAAAAAAAAAAAAAAAAAAAAAAGAAAAAGAGAAAATATATAGTATCAAGCCCTGGGTTTGTATCTGCTGTAGCTCAAGCTTTTACCAAGTCAAATCTCCCCGGCAGCGCACAGCATCCAAATGAATAGGCCGGATGCAGATTAACATTCAGGCTGCTCTCTGCAATGAATAGAGCCCTTTGATTAGGGACCTGAAGTAAATGCCAGTTTCAAACCCAAGCTTTAAAAACAGAGAAATATCAGTGCCAGAGGAATGCTCTCAGTGTTGGTACAAGACAGACTTTTGATGAGTCACTGCAATGCAAACAAAGATGGCAGAAATACTGTACTGTATGCTGATGAAATGCTTAGTGGTGCCACGGCAACTGAGACAGGTTTTAAATTTATAGTGCAGTTTTGCATATGAATTACGCTGTAAACTGCCTCCCCTGCCATCTAGTACATCCAGAGTGTCAAAGCATTTAAACTATTCCAAACAGTCTGCAGAGCTGGCACTGCTGCTGGTTAACTCCTGCGGCCGGAGGAAGGTGCGGGGTGGGGGCGGCGAGCATCCCCCAGTATCCCCCAGCATCCCCCCAGCATCTCCCCGCCCCACCCCAGGGGCT